AAAATAAATCATATGTAAATATCGACCAATGTACAAAATTAAAAGGACATGCAGATTTCTTGTATTGCAGGTCCTCCAGACCTTCAGTACCTCCAAAGTTTTCCCCATGTTTGTCACAGTGTGGTGGCCAGTGGTGTATCCAACCTGTTCCATGGCAGATGTCGAGGACAATATACAGGCATGGTGTAACTCAGGATCATGCATCCTGTACATATGCAATAACACCATGTCTGGATCTTTTTTTTTCTTTAACATCTGCCATAGTATAAGGAACACAGGTCTCTGGTTTTCCCTCACGCTTTGGATGATTTTTGATTTTATCTTATTATTATTATTTTTTTAATTATTATTATTATTTTTTATTATTATTATTATTATTTTTTTTTTTTTTGGAAAGTCTAACACTTCCAAAATTGACCTCTAATGCACTCTATTGTGTAGGGGACTATCATAGAATTTCTAATGCAACAATAACTGCAGCCAACTGCAAATGTTTTATAAATAAATCAAATATTCAAAATTTTATTGAAATGAATTTATTACTGTAAAATAATACTGTAAAACAAATAATCAGTGACTTTACTCTTCAGGGTATTCATGACCATATTTTAACTTAACATCAGGAACCAAGTCTCTGATATGAGTTGTAGGTAGGTACCATATCAATTGCTCAGTGGGCAGGTAAGTGTGGATCCAGTGATGAACAGTAAACGAATATGGTGCAGGTTTTTCTCTCAATTTTTTTATGTAAAAGCTAACACAAGCCTCTTTTTGTTTCCTAGTCAGTTTCTCAACATTTTTACATCTGGACCTGAAGTAAAATGGTTTGTAAGGGTCAGTGGTTGGGATAAAGTATTCAGCTGGGGCCAGAAACACTCCGTCACCATTTGTATCTGATATATTTCTGCGAGAATATTCCTTCCAAACGCTAGTGAGAAAATGTGGGCCAGTGCTGTCCAGTAGGTCCCACATGTGAGAAAAGTCTGGCAGCCTTTCTACCACCAACTTAAAGAATGGATGCCCTGGTCTGCAGCCCATGATGGCATTGATTGCAAGGTGTTCATTATTGGTGTCCAGAAGGGAATGCTCAGGTGGCTCTTGTCCAAGAAAACAGTTATATTTGTAAGTCAGCGGATCTACTGGTCTCACAGCTTGCATGTCAGTATCTGCATAAAGTCCCCCAAAGTGGTACAAAATGAAGTACCTCATGGCATCAGCTCGACGAATGTTCTGCATATAATTATCATACATGGAGAGATATGGAGGAAATGTTGTTCTGATGAACTCTCTGGCACCGTGATCAGTCCAAAACCAATACTCCCAGTCTGGGTGCACTTGCTTCCAAGACTTCACCCAAGCTGTCACCCGAGAGGGGACATAGGGATCTTTCCAAGTCTGATGAATAATTTTTGGTATTTTGTGTTTCCCAGTAGGTGGCAACTTTTCAAAAGGAACTAAAGTTGGATTCAGTGTTGGGTCATATAGCCTTGAATGAAGTATCCACAAGTCTATGGAATTTAATACCTTCAATAGTAGCAATATCACCAACACAGCTGCCGCTATGTATGCAATTATCCTTCTGCATTTGTTCTTGAAAGGAATGTTTCTAGCACCTCTCCTATTATTGCAGAGTTTAAGACAAGACCTTACCATCTTGACAGAGTGTCCAGCAGTCCAAAGACTGCACAGGTATAAACTGTATAATAATGTGACACACCTGGAGATGTTCCCTGGCCTGCCAATCTGTTCACATGGACCCTCTATCATAACAGCAACATCACTGGTCATGAGCCCTCCCTTAAATAAAAACAAAAAGTTCATAAAATTCCATATTACAGGTAGATTATTATGCTACCTTACACTTTCTCAAAGATTTGGTCTCAGTAGTTTGCATTTGCTTCTTACTGCAGTGCCCAGGTACATGTATGAACTATAATATTAGTGATAAACATAAATATAGGGGGTCACCTTGTTACATCCCAGATCTTGACAGATGATTTGAAAAAAAAAAAGAACACTTTTGAGTTTTTGGAATTGCCTAGTATTCAACCTCACATAATATGCAGGTAAGATCTTACAATGCCCTGTGCTAAAAACTCTTTAGGCGACATGTTAAGTCACTTTAAAAAGTCATTTATAAATGATACTGTAGCACTGCAATGTAGCTAGGAATAAAAAACTAAAATACTATGAAACTGGTGCAAGAATCAATACAAAAGAACCTTAATTGTGCAAAGAACACACAAATTTCCACGGCCTCAAGAGCCTGTAACACAGAGTGTTATGAAGCCTTATCTGCAATAATTACTTACTAGTAACATGTAAGGCTGAAAAATTATTCAAAATTCAAAGGCGTACTTTTTTTAATTAAAACTGTTGTATTTATAATAAAGTTTTTAAATTAATTTTTAGATTACATTCTTACCAAGGGGAATTTATACTGTGACGATGTTGGGACATAAAATTATGTATCCATATTACACAACTTGACTACATATTTGGCCACATGTCCTCTAGAATAAGCCAGTCATCATTCATGAATCAATATTTCGGACCACAGTCATAAGATCATAATCTTTGCTAAGTATATAATAAATTCCTTCAATGTCTAAGCTCATTATTAAACAGAGCTAACTAAGCTCTTTCTTGTAGGAAAATATCCAGGAAGATGAATGGAGAGAGAAACACGTTTCATTACCTACGGTTCTGGCTGCGGGTATACATCGATGTGACTCAATTATCCATCTTGTCGCTGTTATCAAGATGAGCCTACGATCCAGATTTCTACTGAAATAATTTCAGATGCCCTTTCAAAGCGTAAAATTGACATCATTCATTTTCATTCTTATATCTATGACCAATTAGGTATGCAGCATCTACAAATCATTATAGTTTATCTTTTGTTAATACATCTACGTCGTGTCTTGGGATCCGTATGAGCCAATCGTTTGACTGAAATTTACATCGAGGGAATTTGAATGTGTGAGAACCTGGCAAAAGCAATTTGTTTAAAACCTCAACATGGAAAAGTGTTTTAAAGGAGGTGAGCATGCGGCCTCCTTCAAGAAAAAATCAAGCACAATCGACAAGAGGGCATTAAGAGCTCATCGCAAATCCATTGACCGGCAAAACAAACGAGATGACCAGCTAAACAAGCGAAGAAAGATGCCAGCCGTGCTCTCTCCTTTGGTTGAGATCGACCAAAACAAAGCAGGGGAAGATGTCAGGAAAAAAGGAGAGGGTGAAACTCCCAAGAGAAAGCCAAGATGTGAAACTCCCAGGAGCAAACCTAGAGGTAATTTTACGCAATTAATATTCCGTTATCGTTTTGAATAATGTCATCGCTGCATTTCAAACGTGTATGATTCGAAAACAAATGTGCTGTATTATGGTCGTGACTGGATTTGACATGGATTAGTCTGTCAGTTTGGTTTATGACCCAGCAAAATATATTGAAATATGGGTATGTTGGTGTTATTCTCCAATTCCAATTAATAATAATAAAACACTGTACACCGAATAATATGCTAGTAGTAGTAGTAGTAGTAGTAGTAGTAGTAGTAGTAGTAGTAGTAGTAGTAGTAGTAGTAGCAAGGGTGAATATTTGGAGTGTGAACATATTATACGGCGATTCAATTTACGATAAATTAAGACGTGTATTAAAACATGCCAAACTGTCACCTTAATCAGTTGATGATTCTAAAAATCACATGATGACATTTACCATCTCACACAAAACTACCATAATTTAATTAAGTATTTTTACATTGTTTTATGTGGCTGTATAATTCTTCAATCATCAAAGCTGATAAGTATTTGAGAAAATGAGTTTTATCTTAACTTGGTAACAGTTTAGTTCTGGCAGCACAATGGCATTTGTATTTTCTCTACCTTTATTCCAGCTTCCAAAGTATCAAGACGGGAAATGCTGCAAAAATGGAAGCAAGAAAAGGATCTCAAGAGAAAACTTGATGCGAAATCAAAAGCTAATAAGCAGCCCTTTAAAGTGTCAATAGTTCACCACAGTGTTGCCGAGATAAAGAATAATACAAATCAAAAGGTAAAAATAAGAATGAAACTATTATCCATTATTTTTAAGTTAGTGGAATGCAATTTTTTTCAAGAATATGCATGGGAAACAACCTAGTGGTTAAAGTATAATAAATTATGAAAACTAGTTAACTTTTTTTTCTATAGCTGTCAACTACTGTAATCCATCAACCTAAAAAGAATTCCTCCCAGGCCCCAGTGAGCAGAAATCCCGTCAAAGCTGTAACAAAGCCAGAGCCTGTCAGGAGACCGTCAACCAGGGCAGCTGCTAAAGCTGCTAACAAGGCCATTTTGACCAAAGGTAATTGAACAAAGAATATAATTTGGCAAACACCACAACAGACCTGACTGTGTGATAGAGAAAATGCAGAGTTCCATTTTCATACCTTTGGCTATGTCCTGCAGTCTGCGCTATTTGGCAATAGCAAGAGACAATTGCCCACCTAAAATTAAATTTAATATAACACTAGCCCACCTTCGGACACTGATTGCCCAAAGTGTTAGTTGACTAAAAAGTTTTTGGCACAGACTCCTGATTTTACTGATCAATAAGAATTGTCATTTTCAGGACCAACTAAGAAGCAAAAGACTGCTGAGCCAAAACCAAAACAGGAACCCGAGAAAGAAGACACTGCCCAAGAACCAAATATTGCAGGTCATAGTGGTCTTACTTCCTTTGCTCCTGTGGATTTTACATTTGCTGCTCCATCCAACTTGTCACCTTTTGAGTTCAAGCCACTTAGTCCGGCTAGTGCTGCTAGCTTCCTGTTCCCCAGCCAAGAAGGAGGATCTTATCTTACTAGCTCTGTGACAAAGAGGTTTGTTTTTTTATGTATCATTAAAGTGAAAGACTGTTTTAAAATACAATACTTAAACTAGTAATATTCAAGAAAAGAAACACAACATGTTTTCTGCAGTGCTTGAAAAAAAAAAAAAAAAACAAGAGTTTTGGATTCCATGGTGATGAATTTGAGTGTTGCATTTTTTAAAATTACCAACAGAAGATGCTCCACCCCAAAAGGCCAGAGTGTAAAGCGCAGTTCTAAGGTTGTGCACTCTCCGCAACCCACTATCCAGTCTGCCTCTGAGGAATCTGCGGATGAGAACACTGTGCCCAGTCAGGGGGTCAGTAAGGTGACCAGAACACCTCAGGCCACTGACCAGAGGTCACAGGGGATGGACACCTCACTCACAAAGAAAGGTAAATAGCATGGTTTTGGGAGGTGAAAGGCGATTTGATTGGACAATAAGTAATGTTTTGCATGTTTTACATCTGGAATTGGTGAAAGGGTACGTGGGTTGCTTTGATTAGCTGATGTCAACTAATTGATTACGCTTGATATGGTCATTATGCTAGATTTGGTGTAATTTTGTGTAAAAGTTATACATTATGTTCTTTCCCATTCAGTTCACAAGGCATAGTTTAAGACAATGACTATACTTTTTTTTTTCACAGAGACCAAAACCCCATTGCAGTTCACCTTCAAGACTCCACTAAGAGCTTCTTCCAAAAAGCTGAAAAGTAAAAACCTTACTCCAGAAGAAAAGTAAGAAGATATTTTATGCAGCATTAGTATTGGATGGAGTTGTATTTCTTGTCACACTGTATTAATTTAAAAGTAGTTGAATTTCAAGGAAGCTGTTATTTTTCCTTATCTATTATCTTGATACTTGTTTGAAAAAAGGGTTTAAAATAGTCTGGAAGGGATTCTTTTCCAGTGCTGTTACTTGCATTTTTGCAACCCTTAGTTACAACTGTATGTATTCAGTGATCCATGGCTTTATTTTCAAGGGTTGCAATGATCTGCCAGAGTCCAATGATTGAAGTGAGGAAGAAGACACCAAAAGAGAAAACTCCAAGTAAGAGTTAACATTTTATTGACCCCAACATTAAGTATTTCACATCACTTGTAGTGTGAGAGCGAGTCATCAATGGTAAATTGTAGTTTGACTGTCTGATGTTTTTTAATCAATTATTATTTTGTTATTGTAATTAATTGTGATAGCTATTTGCTACTGTCATGTTCTTTCTTCTGTCAGCTTCAGAACAACAGGCACCCCTGCCATCATTTGATGATATAGACACTGTCTGTGCACCTGTGAACCTCAACTCCCAGCTAGAGGCCACCATTGTGGACATAAAACCAGGTAGCAGCAGCAGCAGCAGTGGAGAGCATGATGTGCCATACTTCAGGAACTTGTTGACATCTGAGACCAGCAGACTGACCTCATTGTGCAAGCACTGGGAGGAGGTGAACAGTTCCACTCCTGATATACCTGAAGATCGTAAGTGATTTTTGTTTGTGATTTCATTTAGAATTTTAGAGAAGACCAGCACATTGCAAATCATGCTTTTCACACATTTTAAAACATTGCTTTGCATTAACCTTTTTTGTGTGTGTGTTTGTATTTGTGTGTGAAGTACAAACAAAGATGAGTAAGAGCATTTTTCCTTTAGTCCGATACTGGGATGCTTGTGAATAACATTGCCATTTACCTCAGAGTGCATGATGACATTTCAGCTCGTGGTCAGATCCGTACCACTATTGGTCAAGCCCAGCTTTTGATGGACCAGCGATTTAAGCAGTTTAGTGGCCTGGTGGACAACTGTGAATACAAGACTGGAGAAAAAGAGACCACCTGCACTGATTTACAGGGTTTCTGGGATATGGTCTATTTTCAAGTAAGTTTTGACTCTATTGCAAATTTTTCCTCATTTTTAAATTTTCTCTATTGAAGTCTGTCATTTTGTTTTATGAGGTTGAAAAGGGATAGCTATTTGCCATTATTATTATTATTATTATTATTATTATTATTATTATTATTATTATTATTATTGGTGCATTTTCAAGGTGGAAGATGTAAATGTCAAATTCAGTGGCCTGGAAAAACTTCAGGCCAAAAGTTGGGTAGAGGACAAACCAGAGCAAGTTGCAAAGAAGGAAGTACCGGTGAGCCATTATGAAATTTTTTGATCATTTATGTTTGAAATTCACAAACTACTGTCTTGTTAAATTACAATCAATATTAGAAGTGTATCTTTTAAAACACAAATAAGAACAAGGAGCAGTTGTATATTATATAGATAAATTTGTTTTTGTTACTGTGTGATCCAAGTGCACATTTGAGTGTCCAATAAATAGTTTTCCTCATTAACAGATATTGGCGACTTATATGGTTTGAGGGATTTAAATTGATTTTAAAACTTTTTCTTATTTTTTCTTACTTATTGGTCAATGCATGTTTGTATTTCTTTTGTAGAAGAAAGCTACCAAGAAATCTTCTAAGCCAGCAGTGAAGTCCAAATTTGCTGAGTTCCGTGCACAAATGAAGGCACAGCAGAAACAGCAACAAGAGCAGCAGGTGCCTGTAGTTGTGGAGCCCCAGGAAATGAAAACTTTTGATGCAGGGTTCTTCAAAGTCAACAGTCCTGTTAAGAGTCCTATGCAGCAAGGAGAAGGTAGGAGGATTTGAGATTTACTCCCTAATCTTCTATCACTTTCCTTATTAATGTGTCTTAAAACTAAAAGAAAAATAGGACAAAATAGAGCTGGTGTAAATTTAGAGTAAATGTAATGGTAACTCTTATTTTTTATATCTAAGGCAAATCACCAAGAAATATGCCAGGAAATTCCAGTCCACTCCTGATGTCAGCACTGTCTGCCAGTAGGAGACCCAAGGTGCCAAGTCCACTACTAAAGTATACAACCTCTCTGCTAGAAAATAACCAGCCAAGTGATTCTTCCACAACACAGCAGGCTGACAGAGAGATTTCAGCTGCATCCCCTCAACTGCTTTCACGCTCTATTGCCAATGCTCCAGTTGTCCCCAGCCCTCTACTAATGGACACCACCCCAGGGTTGAGGACACGCAGCAGTCGTAGGTCACGCACGTCAATTGGGTCCAGGTCCACTCCAGGAACTCAGAAAACTAGACGACAGTCTCGTAGGTCAGTTGGGACACCTTTGCAGAAAATTCTCACTGAGGATGTTAGTATGCCAAGCAGCTTGAGGCGTTCCAGAAGAAGCGTTTCAAAGCCCGTGTTTGACCCAGATATTGAGGACAAGATAGAGGTCATTGAGACAGATGTGTCTAGTGTCTCCAGTGGAGAGCACAATGTGCCGTACTTCAGGAACTTATTGACATCTGAGACCAGCAGACTGACCTCATTGTGCAGACACTGGGAGGAGGTGAACAGTTCCACTCCTGATATACCTGAAGATGGTAAGTGAGGAAGACTGTAAAAGGAGAGTTTGTTGAATCACAGTTATGTTAGTCTTTTAAATTTATTTTATTTAGAAAATATATATACATATTTGAATTACTTGCCTCTCATTTGCCACAATATAGTGCTTGTTTCTATCTTTCTTGCTGTAAGAGATGTGCATAGTTGGCTTGATGATTTCAATATCAATACTTACCTTTAA